GGATGGAATGGATGGTGGATGGATGTGGATGGATGGGTGGGTGGATGGATGGAATGGATGGATGGGTGGATGGGTGGATGGATGGTTGGGTGGATGGATGGGTGGATGGATGGATGGATGGGTGGATGGGTGGGTGGATGGGTGGATGGGTGGATGGATGGGTGGATGGATGGATGGGTGGACGGGTGGATGGATGGATGGATGGGTGGGTGGACGGGTGGGTGGATGGGCGGTCGGATGGGTGGATGGGTGGATGGGTGGGTGGGTGGATGGGTGGGTGGGTTGGTGGGTGGATGGATGGGTGGATGATGTGTAGAAGAATAAGTAAGTACATGGGTGGATGAGTGGATGTGTAATTTGCTAAATAGTGATTAGGTAGGTGAATAGTGAATAAGTCAGCCTGTGGTTTGAGGGATACTTGAACTTGTGCACACATCGACAAGTGATCTTCTAGTCATCTTGCTGACTGGAGCAGTGTCCTGACCTCTTGCTGTCACTTGCCACTGGACCCATCAGCGTCCCATCTCCTCTAAGGTCTTTGTTCCATTCTGGCTTGGCTTGGCTCCCATTTGCTTGGACCCCACTTACTGTGGAGAGATCAAGAGGCCATTAGTGGGACGTCACCGCCCTGCAGGGACAGACGTGTTCCGTTGTCTGACGTCCTCGTCCTTATCTCTCATGAGGTCGGTGTCTTATCTGGTCATTTCCTGTTATTTCCTGCTCTTCACATAGGAAATGATATCTTTACCCCCACGGACGCATTTCCTTGAAATATCACTTGCACCTCAACTTTCATTAATTTTTGTGAATGACATCGCCGCGATGAACCTTTCCCATCAGACTACATGGGGTTTGCAAAATGATTTCGTCCTTATCGCTTTTAGCATCAACCCTGGTGGCTGTCAGCAGTCAACCTCAGCCATGGCCTGTGTTCTTACTTGCGGAGGACGTTTGATTCTTGTCACCAAAGGGGCTGGACATAGACTGTGTCTCCTTTTGTTAAAATGTCCTTCTTGGTTGTCCCTAGTGTCACGCCACAGCACTCTGGTCCAAACCATGGCGCCATGTTTGTTGTAAGAGCTCTCTCCCCCAAATTATATGTCCACATCACAGTCCCTGGCATCTGGGATCGGGACCTCATTTGGAAATAGGGCCCTTGTGGGTGAAATGAAGGTCTGGAGATGAGGTCATCCTGGGCCAGCTGTGTCACCCACTCCATTGGGCCAGGCCGCCATATTGGAATATGGTCAAGTCCCATAGAACTGAGGGGAATGGTGTCTTTTCCAAAAGGTGTGTCACCTGGGGCCTGAGAATGGGACCCCATTTGGAAATAGGCTCTTTGCAAGTGGAATGAAAGATCCAGTCCCGTGGCTGGGGAGGGAGTGGCCCTGCCGTACCTGGATGTCACACTTCTGTTTCTCCATGGCTGGAACAGGTGAATCCGTGCTAAGTCACCACGTTTGTGACACTTTTTTGTTGCATGCATATTAAATCCATCATTATATATCCATGAGGTCTCTGTAGGTTTTGCTCTTTTGTCTTCTGTCCAACAATATGGGCAGAAAACACACAAATACAAGTGATCATGGAGGGCTCACGCAGGTGTTCAATGTCTCAATGTTGAATTTTATCTATTATTAATTTGCTAGGACTTTTTTTTCATTTTTATTCTTGCATAATAATTCTACCGAATAATTTTATTATGATATTTTTATTCAGGTATATATGGCACTTTGATCTTATTATATTTTGATTTAGATTCCCAGAGACCTGGTTTTTCTTTTTAGATTGATTTCATTGGTTTTGAAAGACTACCTCATTTTCCCATTTTCATCATGCAATCAACAGACAAAGCAGGCAGAAATGTCAGGTGGCAGGGAAGTCAACAAACAAACACTGGGCTTCAGGAAACGCGTCAGGATTCTCTGCAGGGTTGCATGACAGGCCCCAAGGGGGGGATGTGCGAGACGGGAGGCAGATGGTATCTCAGGAGGTGCAGAAGCAGCTGCATATGTGCCGAACTCAGTACCTGTGTGCACACCTGAGCACCTGTGTGCACACCTGCTGTGCTGCAGAGACGCCAGGACCCACTGGAATCCAAGAGCCACAGTCAAGGGCTTCCTATGACTTCTTCCCTGGACGCTGTGGGAAGCCCTTCTTCCTGGCTCGTGTAGGTTTCACTGTGGACATGGGTACCTCTGCACCAGGAGGTCAGGTCCTCTCTGTGTCCTATAGGAAGCTCTGTGTGTCTTCCCTGTGTCCCCTCCTTGTGTCCCTTCCCTGGTGTCGTCAGGAGACCCCACTTGACCTTGCACACGCCTCATTTCAGCCTTTTACATTTCCTGCAAAGCAACCCTGAGTTCAGGTTAAGTTAATACAGCAGCTCGCTCCCCAGGCAATAGGGTCGGGGTGTCCCAGTGCCACCTAGTGGATGTGGAGAGGAGATGATTTTGAGTAAAGGCTACAGAGGCAGGGGTGTCTGAGGTAGGAGATGGGTGGATGGAAGGCTAGGTGGATGGAAGATGGATATATGGATGGACAGATAGATACACAAGTGGACGGATGGTTGCTATATGGATGGTGGGGTACATGCCTAGGTAGACGGGCTGATGTATAGAGGATGAATGGTATACAGATAAATGATGTGGATGGAAGGGGTGGATGATGGATGGATGGATGGATGGAGGATGGATGGATGGGTGGGTGGATGGGTGGATGGGTGGATGGATGGATGGATGGATGGATGGATGGATGGGTGGGTGGGTGGATGGGTGGAATGGGTGGGTGGGTGGATGAATGATGGATGGATGGGTGGATGGATGGATGGGTGGATGGATGGATGGATGGATGGGTGGATGGTGGATGGGTGGATGGATGGATGGGTGGATGAGTGGATGGATGGGTGGGTGGATGGGTGGATGGGTGGATGGATGGATGGATGGGTGGATGGATGGGTGGGTGGATGGGTGGATGGAAGGATGGATGGATGGGTGGGTGGGTGGGCGGTGGATGGATGGGTGGTGGATGGATGGATAAGCAGATGGATGGGTGGATGGGTGGATGGGTGGATGGATGGATGGGTGGATGGGTGGATGGAAGGATGGATGGATGGGTGGATGGGTGGAATGGATGGATGGGTGGGTGGGTGGATGGGTTGGATGGGTGGGTGGTGGATGGTGGATGGAATGATGGGTGAGCTGATGTGGATGGAATAATATTGATAAGGAATAATAGATATGATACATGCAGGACAATAGTGGATAGGTGAGTCTATAGATTATAAGTAGATGGATTGATGGGTGGATAGATTAAAGATAGATCAATGGAAGGGCAGATAGATGGACAGATGTATAGACAGAAGATAGATTAATAGATAGACAAGAGAACACGGCCCTCTCTTGCATAGAGTCAACAGCCACTCCTCATGGTTGCAGTGGACAGGCCTTCCTGGGTCCCACTCACCATCTCTCCAGTCTGTCCATCCCCACCTCGGTCCCTCTCCTGCCTGGCCTGGGCTTGTCCCCCTGTGTCCTGTTTGGACCAGCCCCGCCCCCTAACTGTCCTGTTTGACCCTGAACCCTTTCTGTCCGGCAGGTTCTAGGCCCCGCCCTCTCTGTCTGGTCCAGCTCAGGCTGCACCCCCTCACTGTGCTGCAGGTTCTAGGCCCCGTCCCTTCTGTATCCTCAGGGTTCTAGGCCCCGCCCCCCTCTGTCAGGTCAGGTCCCGCCCCCTCACTGTGCTGCATGTTCTAGGCCCCGCCCCTTCTGTATCCTGAGGGTTCTAGGCCCCGCCCCTTTTGTATGCTGAGGGTTCTAGGCCCCGCCCCCTCACTGTCCTGCACCATGGCCTGAGGGTGGAAGGGTTGAAGGGTGGAAGGGGAGGGGCTCCTGCCAATCTCACTTGTCTGCACATCGTTGTCCGCCCGCACGCAGTACTCCAGGCTGTCCACGTGGTAGAAGGTGCGGTGGTCAGGGGACCCGTCCAGCCCGTTGGGGATGCCCAGCCTGTCCAGGTGTCTGACCACCTGGCGGTCAGTACAGGGAGCCCTGGCGAGGCGGAAGGCTCTCGCATCGTGCCTAGAAAGAGCAGGTGTTCAGCGAAGGCCACCTTTCTCCCCTTGTCCTGCCCACCCTGCACAAGTTACCGCCCACAGAATGGGACCTCATTTGGAAATAGGGTTTTTTGCAGGTGGAATGAAGGGTCTTGAGACGAGGTCATCCTGCACCAGCTGTGTCACTCCCTTCGTTGGAACATGGTCAAGTTCCATGGAACTGAAGTCAACAGTGGACCTTTTTCCCAAAACGTCTGACTTTTAGACTAGCTGTTAAAGCACTCACCTGATTAGGTCAGGCCCACCACAATAATGTCACCTCATCAGCTTGAAGTCAACTGATTGGGGACCTTAATGCAGGAATTCCCTGCATGGGAGTGACCGTCCTGCCCCTCGTCGTCACACTTCCTTTCCTCCCTCGGCAGGAGGAGATCGTACAGACCTCATGAAAACCAGGGCTGCAGATGTCACCTCTTCCTCTTTGCAAGGTGCATCTGAGACTGAGACGCTTTGCTTAAAAACTGAAAAGCATTTTTCCGAGCATGGGTCAAATTATTACAAGCACCTGTTGCAGTTATATTAGGGACTTTCATTCACAGAATTCTGTGCATATTACATTATATGACAATTAGACAAAACTTATTATAAGTACACTGTGGACTTTGATTATATTATTGCATTGGATTATATAAGAATATAGCTAGAATTTAGGGCCAAATAGGTCAACCAGTGAGGATTCAGGCAAATGGCTGCACAGCCCGGCAGGTGCCAGAACCTGAACGCAGGTAGGTCCAGGAGGAGGGGAAAGGGGGGCTTTGCGCAAGCGCACTACAGTCTCGGGGGGGGGGGGCACCCGGAAGTCCCGCCTCCCGGGGGCGGGGCCAGAGCCGCGAGACGCAGCCTACAGCCGCCGCGCGTCTACTTCCGCGGGCTCCGCGCCGGAAGCGGAAGTGCGTCACAGTGAGGGGCGGGCGGGCCGCGTCGGGGCGCCTCCGGCTGACGGTAGTGGCGCCGGGCGGGGAGGCCGCGGCTGCCCGTGGTTCGTCGGGGGACAGCGGGGATTCGGGCCAGCGGCGGCGGCGACGGCCTGGGACGCAGGCGGAGCCCCGCGCCGGTAAGCGTGGTCCTCGTGTCCGCCCCGTCGTCCCCAAGCGCCGCCTCCGTGGACCGGGCCGGGCCGGTGACGGGGGCCGGGACCGGGGATCTCGCAGGAGGCTTATTGGGGGGCTGGGAGCCGTTCCGGGGGGTCTTGGAGTTACCGGGCGTCGTTCTGGGGGCTGCCGTAGGGCCAGGTGCCGTTTTGGGGTGCTGGGGTCGGTAATGGGGGGCTGCTGGGGGGTCTCGGGGCGAATATTTGGGGCCGTGATGGGGGGCTTTGGGGCGGGGGCGGTGCAAGGGGCTGGGGACGGTATTGGGGGGCCGAGAGTGGCCTGCGTGGATTTTATGGGGGTACAAGGCTGGTGGACGATTAATGGGGTCCTGGAGGTGTCTTGGGGTTCCAGGTGGTAATGGGGGGGCTGAGGGATTGGGGTGACCCCAAGGGGTCTCACATATGGTAAGGGACGGTATTGGGGGGCAGAGGGAAGCCCCATTGATTTTATGGGAGAGTCTGAGGGCCTGGTGGACGACTATGGGGTCCTGGAGGTGTCTTGGGGTTCCAGGCGGTAATGGGGGGGCTGAGGGATTTGGGGGTGACCCCAGGGGGTGTCACATATGGGCCAAGGACGGTATTGGGGGCAGGGAAGCCCCATTGATTTTTATGGGGGTCTGAGGGCCTGGTGGAGAACTATGGGGTCCTGGAGGTGTCTTGGGGTTCCAGTGGTAATGGGGGGCTGAGGGATTTGGGGGTGCCCCAGGGGTGTCACATATGGGCCAAGGACGGTTTGGGGCAGAGGGAAGCCCCATTGGAATTTTATGGAGGTCTGAGGGCCTGGTGGATCGACTAATGGGGTCCTGGAGGTGTTTGGGGTTCCAGGTGGTAATGGGGGGCTGAGGATTTTGGGGTGACCTCAGGGGTGTCACATATGGGCAAGGACGGTATTGGGGGGCAGAAGGGAAGCCCCATTGTTTTATGGGGGGTCTGAGGGCCTGGTGGACGACTATGGGGTCCGGAGGTGTCTGGGGTTCCTGGGGTTAGTGGGGTTGTGAAGGTCCTGGGGATCGTGGGGCAACACCAGGGGCCATTCTTGGGGTGTGGGGCTGGTAATGGGGGGCTGCGATTATGCTGGGGCCGTATAGGGGGTCTAGGGGTGATGGTAGGGTTCGTATGGGGGGGCTTTGTGACTGGGTGATACTGGGGGCTGGGGGAGGCCCAGCTGGTTTTTTGGGGGGTTCTGAGATCTGAGGGGACGACTCTGAGGTCCTTGAGGCGCCTTGGGGCTCCTGGCAGTAGTGGGGGGCTGAAGGCCCTGGGGATCTTGGCTTTAGGTGGTAGTGGGGTTTTGGGGTTTGATAGGCCCTGGGGGCCTGGGGCGGCACCAGGGGCCATGCTGGTGGGCTGGGGACAGTATTGGGGGCCAGAGATTTTGTGGGTGTGCTGGGGGTCTGAGGGGACACAATTCTGGGGACCAGGAGATTGGAGGAGGCACCAGAGGGTCTGGCAGAGGCTATGAGGATGGTGGGGGGGGGGCTGAAGAAGACACCAGCGATTTTATAGGGGGGTTTTGAAGTTGGGGCACAATTCTGGGGTCCAGGAGCTAGGCCCAGTGCTCGGGAAGGTATCGGGATCCAGCACAGGCTGTGGGGCAGAAGAGATAGTTGAGGTGCCAGGGATTTAGTGAGGGGTGTCGATGACCTGGTGCGGGGAGATGGCAGGGTCCAGAAGTGGTAGCAGGTGCTGTGGAAGGTATTGGGGGTTCTGGAGCTGCTGTGGGGGTCTGGGGGGCAATTCCAGGGTCCAGGAGTGGAACCAGGGTTGGGGGAGGTGCTGGAGAGTGTATGGGGGCACTGAGGGTGGCTGGACAGAGTGCGGTGACAGCCTGAGGTCCACGCTGGCTCTGGATGGGGCTCTGTGAGCCACCCCATGGCAGGCCAGGCACAGTCAGAGCACTACCCAGCTGGGTCCCCTTAGCAGCTCGGGTCCTGGATCCCCTGTGGCTGTCCCACAAGCGGCCTGGGCTCCCCCAGCCTTGCCAGGAGGTGGTGGGGCCACCTGTGTCCTTCGGGTTCGTGCGGATCAGGGTGCCTGTCCCCGGAAGTTGCAGCTGTGACTTGGAGGGGGAGGACGAGGGGGGCGCGGGGCCCTGTCTGGACAGGCCTGGCCCCCTTGGCTGTGCATTGTGGGCCCGAGGTCCTTGGTGGTTCCCGTGGTTCCTGAAGCCTGACACCAACTTCCTTCCTGTGTCACGAATGCGAGCGCGGGGACTTGTGCCAGAGCCTGGCCGCCCTGGCCTGTGCCTGTCCCCAGGCCGTTTGTGTCTCGCTGGCCTCTTCCTGCTGCTGCCCAGACTGGGACTTTACCAGTCACGCTGGGCCTGGGGAGGCTCTGAGAACCGGGGACGGTCAGTGTCAGGGACAGTGACAGATTTTTATCAGCAAAGCGTGCCCCCTTATTCTGGGCCTTTGGTGAGCTGGAGGCCACTTTCCGAGCGTGCGCACACAGAAACCCGCCTCCCCTCTGGCCTGCTTTGTCGCCCTGACCGTCCCTGTGTCGTGTCGCAGGCCCAAGGTCCCGGCTATGGCCGCGGCCACCATCGTGCACGACACGTCTGAGGCGGTGGAGCTGTGTCCGTCCTACGGCCTGTACCTGAAGCCCATCACGAAGATGACCATCAGCGTGGCACTGCCGCAGCTGAAGCAGCCGGGCAAGTCCATCTCCAACTGGGAGGTGATGGAGCGGCTGAAGGGCATGGTGCACAGCCACCAGTTCTCCACGCTGCGCATCTCCAAGAGCACCATGGACTTCATCCGCTTCGAGGGCGAGGTGGAGAACCGCAGCCTGGTCAAGGCCTTCCTCGCCTGCCTGGACGGCAAGACCATCAAGCTCAGCGGCTTCTCCGACATCCTGAAGGTGCGTGCCGCCGAGTTCAAGATCGACTTCCCCACGCGGCACGACTGGGACTCGTTCTTCCGCGACGCCAAGGACATGAACGAGACGCTGCCCGGGGAGCGGCCCGACACCATCCACCTGGAGGGGCTGCCGTGCAAGTGGTTCGCGCCGCGGGACTCGGCCTCCGAGAAGCCGAGCGAGGCGGTGCTGGTGCGCGTCTTCGAGAAGTTCGGGGCCATCCGCAACGTGGACATCCCCATGCTGGACCCCTACCGCGAGGAGATGACTGGCCGCAACTTCCACACGTTCAGCTTCGGCGGCCACCTCAACTTCGAGGCCTACGTGCAGTACCACGAGTACGCCGGCTTCATCCAGGCCATGAGCGCGCTGCGCGGCATGAAACTCATGTTCAAGGGCGACGACGGTAAGGCCGTGGCCTGCAACATCAAGGTGAGCCGCGCCAGGATGCCTGGGCACCGCGCCTGGGGGACCCTGTCCTGGGGGCCCTCTCCTGGGGAACCAGCACCGGGGGACCCTCTCCTGGGGAACCTCTCCTGGGGACCCTCTCCTGGGGGACCCTCTCCTGGGGGACCTTCTCATGGGGACCCTCTCCTGGGGGACCAGCACTTGGGGACCCTCTCCTGGGGACCCTCTCCTGGAGGATCCTCTCCTGGGGATCCTCTCCTGGGGGACCCTCTCCTGGGGGACCCTCTCCTGGGGGATCCTCTCCTGGGGACCTCTCCTGGGGACCTTCTCCCTGGGACCCTCTCTTGGACCCTCTCCTGGGGATCCTCTTCCTGGGGGACCTCTCCTGGGGGACCTCTCTGGGGGATTCCTCTCTGGGGGACCTTCTCCTGGGGGACCCCCTCTCCCTGGGGACCCTCTCCTGGGGGACCCTCTCCTGGGGGATCCTCTCCTGGGGGACCCTCTCCTGGGGATCTATCCTGGGGGACCTTCCTGGGGATTCCTCTTCCGGGGGACCTTCTCCTGGGGACCCTCTCCTGGGGATCCTCTCCTGGGGACTTCTGGGGGATCCTCTCCTGGGGGAACCTTCTCCTGGGGACCCTCTCCTGGGGGACCCTCCTGGGGGAACCCTCCCTGGGGGAACTCTCCTTGGGGACCCTCTCCTGGGGGATCCCTCCTGGGGGACCTTCTCCTGGGGGATCCTCTCCTGGGGGACTTCTCTGGGGGACCCTCCTGGTGGACAAAGTACCTTTGGGGACCATTCTACATGTTGTTAAAGCTAGCGTGATGTCAGCCGCTCTGATGGCAGAACGGGTGGCCTGCGGTTTGCTTTTTGTCCTCTCTGTCCTAAAAGAAAACTGGGAATGGTTTTTTCTTGTGGCACGGGTTTGAACTGGGGGGCCTCTTGCTTGCTGGGTGAGTGTCTGCCACTTGGTCCACTGCCAGCCTAAACGGCTTGAAATTTGGTGACGTGCCAACCGCCGGTGCCCAGGCAGGGAATTTTAGTCCCCAACGAAGCAAGAGGCGGCTTGGTCCCTCCCAGAAAGTGCTGTAACGGGGACCTGGGCCTTTGTCTGTGGTCACTGCTTGCGCCCTGCCCACGCCATGCCTTGCTTCCCAGGTGTCTTTCGACTCCACCAAACACCTGAGCGACGCGTCCATCAGGAAGCGGCAAGCTGGAGCGGCAGAAGCTGCAGGACTGGAGCAGCAGCGGGAGAGCAAACGGCGGGAGAAGGAGGCCGAGGAGCGGCAGCGCGCCGAGGAGAGGTGGCGTGCGGCCTGGGACACGGCCACGGTGCGGCCACGCGGGCTGCAGAAACCCAGGCCTGTCAACCGCGCGTCCTTCCCTGCATCTGCCGTGTCACAGGGAGCCGCAGGAGTGGCCTCCTCCTGACGCTCTGCCTTGCGTTGTTCCAGCGGTCACTGCTTTTACTGTTTTCCTGTCTTTCACTTTTTCCTTTTTCTGGTACTGGGCTTGGTACTGAGGCCTTGCACTTGCAGGCAGACGCTCTCCCCCTCCAGCCGCTCGCTTCTTTTCGTCATTACTTCATTTTTTTAAGGGTACGGTGTCCTGTTTGTGCCCAGCGCCAGCTCTGAGCACGGCCAGTACTTCCTTCCCACACAGCTTGGATTAACGGGCACAGCAGCCCGCCCAGCCCTTCTTCAGATGGGCCGTTAACTTTTTCCACCGCCTGGCTGCATCGTCAGTCTTCCAGGTACCTGGGACGCGGGCACACTGTGCCAGCTCTCCACAACCTCTTGTGTTCAGTGGTCCATTTGTTTGCATTTCGTTCTTTTTTGTTTCTTTTCTTTTTGCACTTCTCGGGTCAAACCCAGGCCCAGGGAGCGTGTGGGGCGGGGCCGCGTGGTCCTCCGAGGTCAGTCTGTCCTGTGGTGCGCCGGGGGTCCCCCGAAACCTGCGGCTGGCAGGAGCCGCCCGGGGTCGGCCTGCCGGGTCACTGTCCCCTGACGACGCCAGCTGCGTTGCTCCTCTTGCACAGGGGACGAGTGCCCGCCTGTACCCGGGCGTGCCACTGTGCTGTCTGCCTTCTGGTCTGCAGGAGGCGACGGTGTCCGGCCGTCCTCCTGTCTGTCCTTCCTGTGACGCACAGCGGTGCTGGGTCCCGCGGGTCGGCAGCCCGTGTGTCCTGTGCTTCCTAGTGGGCTCACAGCAGCCTGTCCCATTCTGTGGTCGTGGTTGGCATCGGCCCGGGCTGGGCGTGGTGACCGCAGCACTGCTGGCCTCTGGCCTTGGGACGGTTCTGCGGGCGGGGCCGAGGCTGCAATGGGCGGGGCCGTGGTTACTCATTGTGACTGAGGCTGCAGTGGGCGGGGTCGAGGTTGTTGAGGGCGGGGTCGAGGTTGTTTGAGGGGCGGGGCCAAGGTTACCTGTGACTGAAGC